GAGAGGGGAGAGGAGAGCAGAAGGGAGAGGGGAGGGGAGGAAAGAGGGGTGGGAAGAGGGAGAGGGGTGGGAGGGAAGGATAGAGGAAAGGAGAGGAGAAGAGGAGGGAAGAAGAGAGGGGAGGGGAAAAGAGGAGATGGAAGGAGAGGGGAGAGGAGAGGATAGCAGAAGGGAGAGGGGGGAGAGAAGAAGGGAGGGAAGAGGGAGAGAGGAGGGAGGGAAAGATAGAGGAGAGGAAAGGAGAGGAGGGAAGAGGAGGGAAGAAGAGAGGGGAGGGGGAAAGAGGAGAGGGAAGTATAGGGGAGACGAGAGGAGATGGAAGGAGAGGGGAAAGGGGAGGAGAGCAGAAGGGAGAGGGGAGAGGAGAGAAGAGGGGAGGGAAGAGGGAGAGGGGAGGGAGGGAAGGATAGAGGAGAGGAGAGAAAAGGAGGGAAGAAGAGAGGGGGGAAAGAGGGAAGGATAAAGGAGGGGAGAGTAGAGGAGAGAACTTTTATTGTCATTTTTTGTTCTGTGAACAAACTAGCATATAATTAAAAGAATCAAATTCCGAGGCCCGTTTTCAAAAGAATATACATCTCATAGTCCATTTTGAATACATAGCGGAAAAGGGACTCTTGAGTATTCACAAGCTTGATACTATAGGGTGTAAAGCTACTATAGAATCTAGTTGTTCTGCTTTGCAAGATATGGCAAAGTCTCCTGCCAGAAGGTGATAAAGCAAATCAATACATACATATATATATATGTATATATGTATGTATGTATGTGTGTGTGTGTGTGTATATATATATATATCTCCACATACATACACACATACACACAAACAATACAATCAGTTGTATTGTTTTAAAACCCAGAGTTATATAATCTAAATGGTGTGTGGGAGTATACACTTCAAATTATAGGATCTCCTGCTTGAGCAGGAGGCTGGACTAGAAGACCTCCAGGGTCCCTTCCAACTCCGTTCTGAATTAATTCAATGAAAGGAAACCGTGAAGCAAAGGTTTACTTCATTCGCCGAATGATAAATAGACCCCGCTGTTTGCATTTGGGGAGCAGTTTTAAAATGAATGGATGCTGGAGACTCGGCACAGCTGACAGATTGGTCTATCCAAAGCACTATAAATCTCAGTTGCAAATATTATAAATAATTGTCTGAGAGTAAACCCCATGGAAGTCCGTAGTTCTTCCTTTCGGAGTAGACCAGCATGGGTTTTTTTCCTCTTTTCTACTTGCCTTTCATAAAATGGCGTTCTAATGATCTTCTGAGGAAGATGAAAATATACAGTAGATATATGAAAATACATGATAGCAGTCTTCCAATATCTCAGGGGCTGCCCCAAAGAAGAGGGAGTCAAGCTATTCTCCAAAGCACCTGAGGGTAGGACAAGAAGCAATGGGTGGAAACTAATCAAGGAGAGAAGCAGCTTAGAACTGAGGAGAAATTTCCTGGCAGTGAGAACAATTCATCAGTGGAACAGCTTGCCTCCAGAAGTTGTGAATGCTCCAACACTGGAAGTTAATACCACTTTTAATGCCTTGGTAAGGCCACACTTGGAGTACTGCACCCAGTTTTGGTCGCCACGATGTAAAACATATGTGGAGACTCTAGAAAGAGTGCAGAGAAGAGCAACAAAGAGGATTAGGGGACTGGAGACTAAAACATATGAAGAATGGTTGCAGGAACAGGGAATGTCTAGTTTGATGAAAAGAAGGACTAGGGAGACATGATAGCAGTCTTCCAATATCTCAGGGGCTGCCCCAAAGAAGAGGGAGTCAAGCTATTCTCCAAAGCACCTGAGGGCAGGACAAGAAGCAATGGGTGGAAACTAATCAAGGAGAGAAGCAACTTAGAACTAAGGAGAAATTTCCTGGCAGTGAGAACAATTCATCAGTGGAACAACTTGCCTCCAGAAGTTGTGAATGCTCCAACACTGGAGGTTTTTAAGAAGATGTTGTGTGACCATTTGTCTGAGGTGGTGTAGGGTTTCCTGCTTTAGCAGTGGGTTGGACTAGAAGCCCTCCAAGGTCCCTTCCAACTCTGTTATTCTATTCTAAAGTATATTTTACATTTCTTTACTCCTAAATGAGTAAACCATCTTCCCGATCATGGTGAGAAAAGCCAACAATATGAATAAACAAATAAACGAGAGACATCTCAGTCCTCTTCTTTCGTTGGCGGTGTGTGACTTGGAACCCTGAAACAGAGCAAAGAGAGGATTGGAGTGCTCCCCTATTGTATGAATTCCAAATGTCCCATTTCCTGCCAGTTCCGGGTGGAGAGAATAAAAAGCTAGCCGATAATAAAAAAAAAGGGATCCTTGATACTTTTGGTAAAAATAGAATTTAAATTGAGAAGGTGGGGGGATTGATTTTTGGAGCAAAAAAACCCCACCTCCCTGCTCGTCCATTGCTGTAAAGAACATTAGAAACCTAAGCTTACTTCATTTTAGGGGGATTAAAGCTAATTTCCACTACGACTGGCCAGAATTCTTAGCAGCTAAATTTGCTGCGCCCCTAATGTGCATAAATTTGAAATTTTGTGGGGATTAAGCAGGGAGGGTGAGGGGGAGCAAGGTATGTGCGAGGGAGAAGATCAGCAGCCTGAAAACACGTTTCCCCCCATTGTCTAATTAATAGGTTTAAAAAGTCATAAGACATCTGAAATACCTATTTTTTTCCCCCCATGTTCATATTTAACCATCTTACTTTTTGCTATTTCTGGGAAGATTACACCGAAAGAACAATAATACTGAAATCCTTCCCCGGAAAAGGGAAGAACCCTGGAAACAAGTGATTAAACAAGTGATTAAAAAGGAGGTGTGTGTGTGTGTGTCTGTGTGTGACTGTGTGTGTCTCTGTGTGTGTGTGTGTGTTTGTGTGTGCGCGCGCTCAAGTTGAGCCATTCCAGCCAAAATAGCAATAGCAATAGCGCTTAGACTTATATACCGCTTC